CGAAGATTTCAATATACACTGTAAGCAAAAACTATCCGAGTTTGGGGTTTTTGCGGCTCATGACCTCTGAAAACTCTCTTGCGTTCAAAATTACTACCTCGTGTAGGAGTAAAAGATGGTACATGACATAGTTTTACCACCACCTCTCAGGAAAGTACTAAAAGGATGTCAAAATCCAGTTTTACCACGTAGGAAGTTTTCTATCCCGTGATTTTTAACCTGCGTTTCAGAGTTTATTACCACGTGACAGGTGCAGCTACTATGGTGGCTTTTGCCCTATACCCCCATCGTGACGCTCTCAGTGAATCCTAAAGGTACGCAAGGACCACAGATCTTTTTTTTTTTTTTTGGCATCGACGTGCCTAAGGACTGACCTCCAGTCAACGCACTTTCACTGGAACTGGGGGCAGCATAAGCACAACAAGCGAGAACAGCATTCTGTGAACGAAAAAGAAAAAATACAGGGGGATCTCAAAAAAAGAAAAAAAAGAAAGAAAACCTGCTGTGGAAAGTTGTCCTGCATATTTTCGCAAATTGTTGGCTTTTGCTCGGAGGTGGTGGCTTGGAGACAGACGGTGCAAGAAGCTCGGTATCCGTGTGTATGGTTGGGCTGGTGGATCTCACGTGTTTCCTACATCGTCAAACGACAGTGCGCTTCCGAGCACCTCCGAACCTGCACGTCGCGGATATCTCGCTTCCGAGCCGAATCGCGAATATCTGCCAGTGGTAACAAAATCAATCTGGTGTCATCGTCCGTGCTTGCCTACTGGAGAAGCAATAAGCGAAATGCTTCACTCTGTCGTCGGCACCGAGCCGCGGCCGCCAGTGACCAGTGGGAGTGTGTCGCCGGGGCAGGTGAAAGAAGCATCGCATATATTTTGTTTTACAGGAGGCGATGTCTGCGTGAGTGAAGTGCAGCCCGAATCGCCCACCTCATGCACCAACTGTTCTCAAACATGTAGCGCGAAGCCGATACGAGGCAGACGGAACCAACCAGCGGCTACCGGTGTGCACGAAGAAAACCCGGATGGTGGTCTTTCGTTGGAAGTATGCATACACCGCCCCGTCCCCGTAAGATAGCGGTCACGTGTTCATTTGTGTCTGAAATGACGACAAAATTCGCACAGGATATGTGTTCTGTGATCGCCAGCTGTGTTTCATCGGATAGCCGTGCTCCTCGAAAAGGCCTAGTACGCCGTCGGTAAGAAGCTTGTCTGCTGGCGTGCACCGCTCCTCTACGCCCGTTGTGATGAATACGTGCTGCTACTGTGTTTGTGCACCGTCGCTCAATGAAAATCATTGAGCCACCATGATTTGTGCGTACCTATGTATAAATTTATGGACTTGTGGATCAGCAGTGCTAACACGCGTGGGGCCATGAGCCTGGTGTACCAAGTAATTATTGGATACTCAAAAAGGTGAGATTGGGTAGATTTATATTAAAAGGTCGGTGTGACATTTAGTTCCCTGCAGCCCACCTTAAGTTTACGCTTGCACTTTCAACCGTTGTTGTTAATAAATGCAAAAAAAGAGCTCTCCTACCGGTCTTACAGGGCCGGTCAAAAAGTCGTGCCTATATATACCGCATTGTCAAAGTGTAGTTGGGCAACGCGTGCAGTCTGGTCGAGTGGTGTATTATTCAGCATTTGTTGTGTGTGCGTGTTTGTCTGTATGTAAATCTATGTGTCACCAACTCTGCCGTTTAATAAATTCAATAAATTCTGCTATTTAATAAATTAGTCGACTCTGGGCGAATGCACCCGTCAATTTTAATTTTTTAGCACCAGAAATAACTCCCAGAAATCACCTCAAAAACCTTGTGAAGGCAGTAAAAATTTACTCTCTCTATACTCGCTCAAAACCTCACTGGGGTAAATAATTACTACTCTCTCTACGTTCAAAAACTCAGTTAGCACGAGAGTAAATTTTTACCTCGATAGTAGGTGGTAAAGAAACCCAGGAGAGGTAGTGCGCTAGAGGACAAATGGTTTACCCAGTTTTTGAGGTTATTTCAGGTCATTTTCGTTTAGTGTGTATTTCGCACCGTTAAACCACGCTGCACATCGGTCCGATTCCACAACTAAACGCCGTGAATCCCGCGCTTCAAAGGGCCGAGTAACAAAAAACTACGAAAAATAAATTAATGGTAGCAAAAGTAAGCTCTTACGATCGTCAGTGGCTGCTCCTGGAGTTTCACCACCAAAAACTTCAAAGCGGTCTGAAGTAGGCTTCGCTCGACTACGGCAGGCTGGCCGGCAACCGGTCTGAGAGTTGTACCGGCGACGCGCTCGCCCCGTCTCCGCTGATTGTGGCTTCTCGGAGTGTCACCAGTATTTCACCGGCTGTAACATCTAAGTGGTAAGAAGGCCTCGCTATGCCGTTGGTATCAAGCCGGCGTTGTTTCGAGCTCGCACTGCGCACCGGCCGCCGTGGCGAGCTCTGCGAGCTGTACATGCAATATACGCGAGCAGCGGGAACAGCGACTGCGAACCGTCTCATTCGTTTAAGTCTATCGCTCCGTAGCCTAAACTGCGTGGATAGCGGACACCTATTTCTGTGCCTGGGAAAAACAACGAGACGTAAACTGCACATCAGCAAGTATTTTGTGATCGCCAGTTGTCATTCATCGAATCACCGTGCCGTACTCGTGAGTGAGGCCTAGTCGCCGAACGCGGTAGCGGCGGTCTACCTCGGTTCATCGCTGGAGCTGCTGAATGTGCTTCGTTAATGTGTTCAATCAAGGCCGCGCGCACTTTGTGTATGATTCCGTGCATTTTACGGGTCTACAAACAGTACTGCTAATGCAAATTCAGCCTGTACGACAAAGCGTCAACTGATAAAACGTTTTTCCTATAGTAAAAAAATATTGAATTTTAGGCAGGATTAGGATAAAATGCATGTGTGCTGAAGTGTTTACATCAGACCACCGCAAGTTCATACTTACGCCGTGCGTATTTATTGCTTAATTATTAGAAAAATAAGGCTTTCCCCAGGGCTGCACAGGAGGTCAGAATGTGGTGCCTATATATACCCGGTGACTATATTGTAGGTGTGTACTGCGTGTGGCAAGCTGTGGTGAGTGCGAGTGTAGTAATATTACGTGAACGTTGTGAGAATGTTTGTGTACTGTAATCATTGTTGTGCGCATTAAATATAATGCAATTAAAATTACGCTTGCGCATGGTACTGCTGCTGACGTAATTTTTTTCTCAGTCGATGCAAAAAAATTACTCCCATACTGACTCAAAAAGTTCCCGAATGGATGTAAATAAAAACCCCCCTGGCACCATGCAAAAACCCCCTACTAATGGGGAGTAAAGATTTTACTCCCTCCGGACGGTGTTTATAAAACTCCCATCGGGGCGTGCGCTACAAGACAAGGTCATTTACTTCCATCTCGGCTTATTTCTGTTTACAGTGCGAAAGCTAGAGAAGCGGGCTTTCAGAGCCTTTTCAAAACACTCTTGGTAACTAACTACTGCCAGCACACTAGCTTGATACCCACTAGGGCATCAATAATAAACTCTTGGGTAGTAGTCCAGCATTTGCTATGCTATTTTAGTCATTTTTATGAGAAGCGTCGCATTCCCTGAACACTTGCAAGAAATTTCATTCCTATTGTTCATGCAAAGACTGATGACGATAAGGAATTATGGCTGAAATGGGTATGCACCTCAGTCATTACAGGAACAAGAACAAGCGTTTTTAATAGGTTGGAGCATTGGACGGCCCACTCGTTACGCTATTCGCATTGTGCGACGACTGGTTGTTCTTTCGCTTTTTTAAAATGCTTTCTTAGTCGTATTAACGCGATTGCTTTCCCGACATCGAGCCAGCCCAAGGCAAGTTTGCCAACAAGTCACAAGCACCAGCCTAGCTCAGTGGTACTATACTAGAATGGCACCCAGTGGACCTGGGATCGAAACCCGCTGTGTTTTCAGTGCTAGTTTTGCCAACAAGTCAAAAGCACCGGCGTAGCTAAGTGGGAGAATACTGGGCTGGCACCCAGCAGACCCGGGTTTCGAGACCCACTGCGTCTTTGGTGCTAAGTTTTTTTTTTCTAATTTCGCGCGATGTGGTTACGGACACCGGTGGCGGCAGACAACTGCGCGTGACCCGAATTGTGACCTCACAACAGCTTTCGCTGTAATAATCTTCACTTCAACTTCAACTTGTCGAGTACCTTTTGTTTCGTGGGTAAGTGGGTAAACGTTTTTTATATAAAATATCTTGTAGCGGCAAAAAAACCAGCAAAAGAAAGTCATCCAGTAGAGGATAGAACCATAGGATTGCACAGGCGGAACAAAAAGGCAGGAAGGGCGCCACAGTGGCCACACCTCCCTTTATCCACAAAAGAGGGGAGGAGGGTACAATAGCTACCCCATACTTTACCTATAAGAAGGGGAGGGGGGCGCTATGAGGAACAAACATCCACCCTCTTCAATGAAGGGGAATGCTGCCAATGCTCGTGAATAGAAGAAAAAAGGAAGTGCCGGTCACCCTCCTACTGTGTCCCTGTCTAGTTTTCCCTCTCCCTCCCGGTAGTCAAGCGCTATAAATTATGGCTTGCACTTAGCGAAGACAAACAGAAAATCTGAAGCCGAGGGACGTGCTATTTCTGGCAGGCGTTTTAGCAGGAATTACAAGACTATATATTGTGTTGATATGCTTGCGGCAAATAAATAAATACCTAAGTAAATAAACAGTCGATGCAAATAGCACAGGACGTACTTGATTGCCCCACGAAGGGGCAATGCCTACGTGAAGATTGCAATATTATGTCTAACTGGTGTTTTATTCCTACATTTGCCGCTGTTTCCGTATGTGCCGGGTTCAATGCCACGTCGTGCATCTACGCCGGTTTCATCTTAGCGCGTGCGCTCAACTCTATAAATACAAAAGTACCGTAAATGTTGCTTCTCGAGCGCCCCTTCTGTTTTCCTTCTTTCCAGCGCAGAATGGAGAAAAAAAAACAGCAACCTTGTCCCGGCGCTGTCCTGAATGCGGGCCTGTTTTGAGAGACGAAGACACACTGAGAATCGCTGAGCAGTCATTCGATCCGGCCTTCGAACCTACGATACGTCCAATATAAACTGCACTCTCCGGTCGTTGCATCGTCAGTCTCCTGGACGGCGCAAGCACCGCCATGAAGAACTTGTTCCTGTTGGTAGCTCTGTTGCTGCTGTCGGCGGGTGAGCTGTACTTAAACATTTCAGGTTTTCTGTCGTCTGCGCTCTATGCTGTATGCTCATGATTTCCGTGGTGGCGTCGACATGGCACAAGGGTGCTCTGTGAAAACGGTAAATTTTGACAGAGTCTGATGATTCGGAGCGCCGGTCGTAGAGCGGGGTATTGAAACAAACGGCCCGCGGGCCGCCCCCCGACTCTTCGCAGCGACCCGTGGCAGGCAAAGTACACTCTTCATCCGTCTAATTTTTAAATGACCTCACTCCTGTTTGTGGCATTGCTGAACGGTGCTTGCATCATTTTTTCCCGCCTGAAGTGACGAACAATGCTCTGTTGAGGTTCGCTGCACAGACGTGACTGGTATAACACACTTAAAAAGTGCTACATCCTGTTCACGGTTACACTCGCACCAACCCTGGCTGCAAACTTTCTTGTAACCAGCGGCAGTGAGCACTTTCTCGTTTTCTCGTATCTCTAGATCTTTATTTTTTTACAGCGAAAACTATTATGAGATAATAAGAAGGGTCGCGTGTGCCATAGTTGTCTACAGCCACCGCCAGCATCCGTAACCACTATTACGTGAAATAGGGAAAAAAATACGAAGTAAATAAATAACACTAAGGAAGCAATGGGATTTTCAACCCGGGTTCCCTACGTTACAGCTGAGCATAGTACCACTCAGCTACGCTGGTGCTTGGAACACCGCTGCAAACTGACCATAGGCAGGATTCATGTCGGGAAAGGAGAGGGTAATTGTGTGTAATAAAACGCTTCAAAACAGCTAAGGAGCAGTGAGTTGTCACAAGATGTGAATTGCGAAAAAAGCATGTCATTGAATAGTACAGCCCTATTACAATAGTGCCAGGCATAATTCTTCATTTTCATCAGCCACAGTATGAAAAAATTGCACAAGTGTGTAGCGGGTAAGACGCTTCTCCGAAGAATGAAGAAGGATGGCATAATGAATACCTCCATAATATTTATAATTTCTGGCGTAGTGGGTACGACGATAGTTATAGCGCGAGAACAAAACGACGACAGAGAGACAAGAAGGACACGAAAGACACGAGCGCTACCCAGGCTGCCACACTTCTAGCCCAGGCTGCCACACTTCTAAATGTAGTGGGTACCTTGCAAGAGTACGTGTAGCAGTTACCCAAGTAATGCTTATAAAGGCTCTGAAAGGCTTTTGTTCTAACTTTTGCTGTGATTGTGCTGCGCGTTCAATGAAGGCCTGGTGGTTTTTCTTGTGTTACAACGATCGAGAAGGTTGACCTGTACAAAGTGCGGTGTTCTTTGGTCACTGTGCAGAATTGTCAAGCCTGGAAGATGAAATTGCATTCGCACTACTGACAATGCGAGTAGCAATGAGACTGCTCCATTTGATGAATTTCGATGCTCTTAGAGGCACGTGTTGACACATCAACCAGCCTGGCCGATGCATATATGTGAACACACGAACGAGAAGTTCCGTTAGGAAATCCTATACACAACGATCTAAATAAAAATTCAAATGCCTTTAATAGTATTTTTCACTGCCCACTGCAGACCACTGCGACATTTTGTGCCCTACAGAACCAATGAGAATAACCTACGCAAAACATGACCCTCAACCCGTGTCGCTTCCCAACCTTCTTTCAGACGGTGCAATTTACGTACATATATATAGAACAACTGCAATATTCCTAGTTCTTCACGGATGGAAGACGTACGCATTTTTTTTTCATAGCGAATGAGCTGTTCGCAAGCCAACAACAACATGATACGCGCGATACCGCATTCCTTTAAAGTGTGATGGATTTCTAGCTGGAAACTATCACTCAGATATTGTGTGCGCAGTTTTTTCTTCTAAAGACGAATGCATGGTGTTGCCGAGAGTAAGCATGACATCATCATTCCTCATTTAACAGTATTCAAATGCCATGACACCAAGTTCACTGGTTTCACAGAGTTCACAAGATATTGCCAGCCGAATTGCTCCGTAATGCACAAATCATCACATCAACGTACTTCGAAATTGAATTGTAGTTCCACAGCTTCGCCTTTGAACGCGTTTAGAATGTGTTCACTTATTTTTCAGTGGGTGAATCGTCAATAAAATTAAAATATGACCTAACACTCCTTAGAAATTTTGCGTTAACGGCCCAATCGAACCAGGATGTGAACTGTTCATTATTGAATAAATATAAATTCAGTGTTTCCCCTCACGTTACTCACGAAAGCACATTTTGACTATGTATGTGGGTGCGCAAGAACCCACACGCCGTTTAGATGATAAATTTGATGTACATTCCCCCGGAACCCTGCACTGACTGTGTTATTATTTCATCCTTTCAGGCGTAGATATACGTGCGGGTGCGTTCCGACATGTTTAGTGCAATGTAATTATTGATATTCAACAAGCGGTGACACGTGCTTTTGCTTTCGTGCTTGCGTGGCGCACTCCAACGCGAGTGGCAGAACAGCCGGTTACGTTGGAGTACGCTTCTCCCATCTTGTATTATGCGCTCGTGGAGCGTTCTGGCATTGCTTGAAAAAGGTCCATTGAAACCTACACCACGTTAAGGAAGTGATCACGTGAACAGCGAGACGTACGCTGCCATAGATAGATAGATAGATAGATAGATAGATAGATAGATAGATAGATAGATAGATAGATAGATAGATAGATAGATAGATAGATAGATAGATAGATAAGAAAATATGACACAATTGGTCATGTTTTCTGTGAGAGCGAGAGGAACAAGGAAAAATACAGAAAGGAAGAAGGCAGGGAGGTCAGTCATGAAGCATTTGCTCGGTGGTATTACGTGAAGAGACGTTGATAATAAAATTTAAAAAAAACGGCAACAGAAAGTTGAGCGAACGAGAGAGGAAGCAGTGGAAGAAGGAAATGAGCAGTGAACACGCTACCCCTGCGATAAACAGCACACTTAAGCGCATTACCAGAAATCTTGAAACGTTTCCGCTGAAGACGCGTCCGGAACCGTGATTCTTGCTTTTAATTGTCATTTTCTCCACTATATATTTCCTGACAGCCTTGTTCACGGAAGCTCAACGATTTCCAGGAGGAGGAGGAGGTGGTGGATTTCCACGCCCTGGCGGTGGCCGCAGATGTGGAGTAAGACCGCGTTTTTTTAAATTTTCCTTGCGGTACTTTTGTTTCCACGTATATAGAGTGTAACCTCGTACACCCATACATGCCATCAAAAACTGCTAAAGCCTACCAACGCTGACCTATATCTTAAACCAGCATCAATTCAAAGAAATTCGAGCAGCCTTAGCGGCACCACTATACGTGAAAGTCACCACAAAGCTAAGAATTCAGGAAATGTTTTTTATGCATGAATTGGAAATATTACACATACCTGCGGCTATGCTTTCGCACGATGTAATGGGTTTATTTCAGAGTTTGGAGATAATTTGCGGATGTTTGCTATTACAATAAAACCGTCGGACAGGTAATTTAAGAATAGACAAGAAAAAACGGTATACCAATGAGACATTAATTTTCTCAAGTGTAGCATGTGTCAGTAATTGGAATAAACAACTCCCGTTTATATGCGCCTGTTTACTGGCCATGCTTCAACGTTCCACAAACTTTTGAAATTATGAGATGAGTTTCATCACTTATTTTCAAGAGCGTCCTTAAGACTCAATTCTTTTATTGAAGAGTCGCACACATTATGTCATAATTTGTGAATATAATGTTTCTTGAAAGTCGCAATAGCGACTTCAGGGCCCGCTTCCTTAGAAGCATACGATGGTTGTAATTTCGAATAGAGCTTTCAGCTAATCTTTACTTTGGTCATAACCTTACTCTGCTCACAAATCGTTAGTACAAATGAGAAGTATTGTAAGTACGGTCTTAGTTCTGAACATGGATGGTAAGAGCAATCTTTCTAAGCTTAGCAACGCCACCAAAACGGCAGTAGTTTCCATGGTATAGCCTTAAAATTTTAATTAACATCATTTGTGTGCGAGGGCCAACAGCCATCGGCCCAAACAAATTCACCGCTTCAGTGAAACATCAGGATACAACATTAAAACTATGCTCTCACAGACATCAATGCAGCATGCATCAAGATTCAAAACGCGAGAAAACAACATTAAGTCCTTGGTTTCAATGCATGCATGCCACTAGAGTAATACTCAGATAATAATCAAACTGATAAAACCTTCTTGAAAAGATAGTCATTCGCAAACTTCGGTATTCTGTTGTAATTTTCTTATTTAAGTGCTCCACAAACGGCCGGCATTCTGGCAACCTCTTAACGAAAGTGGCAAACTAAGAAATCAAATTCGACGGTAATATGTGGCTTGTGTTATGCTGTGAAATATGTATATACCTTTGTCTCGAATGCAGAATCTAGTGTGCCGTCCTAGACAACGCTGCGTTCCACAACAAGTGCAGTGCATTAGAGCCCCCTGTCCGACCCTCTACCGATGTGAGTATAAAATAGATATAGCCGAATACATGCGTGCTTTATACTTTGATTGGGCTTTTGTGCTTGCTCGAAGTAATAAATTTAGAAGTAGCCAGTCCTGTACATAAAGTTGTGCGCTATTAAAATTTCGCAATGAACAACTTCTTTGCCCTCATCATTCTTCTAAATGTCCTTCAAGTCATCCTCACCTACTTTGTTCTAAATTATAATGGCCATAATGTTTCATTTAAGAACAGCAGTTCTAAAGACATTGATGATGATTGTCAATGTAGCACAATTGCCGAACAGCGTTTGAAAATAACTTTTTTTAATTTTTACTGGTGCTATGCACTTCAAGGCATTTGTTTAAGTGAGAGTGGCATTCTTTGTTTAATTGGTAGATGGTGTGCAAAACACTTACTCAAATCTCAATGCTTAAAACAGTGTATTTTTTGAGTATGTTGTTTCAAACAATCGTCACTATGAAAGTGTCATTTTTTTACAGAACGAAAAAAAAAAGAAGTTATGGTCAACTTATGTGATAATAAGAGAATTTTCTATGCTTTTGTTGGGTCTATATGTACCAGTGGCAAACTGGAAGGCGGCTGCCCCACTGTTGCAGTGTAGGAACAAGAAATATTGTTTCGAGTGGTTCGTCATAACCCAGAAGTTCTAAAACAATGGTAGAGCAAGGATGAAGTAATAAACATGAATCCGCAGAATGCCACCTCAAAAAAAAAAAGAATCCATTGATTAAGGTGTACGGCGGAGAGTAGTAGAGGGTTTCTTATCTAGATCAGCTAGAACACTGGTAGTTTTCTTCACATAGCTACTGCTGTAGGCTTTGTCTAGTTTTAGGTTTAAACTTGAAATTATACAGAGACAAATTTCACAGAACATTATTAAACCTTCAATCAAACAGTTCTTGGTAACAGTAGAGTCATTCAAGTTTCATCTTCAGCTAAGGTAACAGAGCACGGATCTTATTCAGTGAAGAGAATAAAGTGAAGTAAGTATTATTTGGTATGTAGACATATATATGGGTGTCATTAACCTGCAAAACGATTTAACTCCCTTCCTCGGTCATCTGTTACCTTTGATGTGCGGCACTTCGACACAGCTGTAGTTGATCCTTTCACATGCAAGCTAATCTAAGAAAGTCTTCCCGAAGCTATGGCGTGAGGCTGGAGACTATGACGTGATTGAAGCAGAGCAGCACTGACACAGGCCGAACAAAGAACTGGGAACCCGTGCTCTGTTGTTCGTTTCACTGTCATCATTATTTTCCCCCTACTTTCGTCCCGTCACGATTTCAATTTACCCATACCGGTACGTTACTTGATGGTTGGGAAAAGACCATGCGGTATGAAGAGTGGTTGAACTTTGACTAGTGTCAACCTAGTGCTGTGAACACAAGCAAATCTGTAAGGTTTACGACTAATTACTCGATCCGTGGGGATTGATCAAGGGAGCCGGAAACGTATTATAACAAAGTGGTGTCCCGGAATGGCCTCTTCGGTCCATTCACAACACATCGGTGGCAGGAGAGAGCGCAACTTGTATTCAAACAAAAGCTTATTCTTTCTTCTTTTTTGTGTGCAGGTGTATGAAGTGGATTTCCGGACACAGAAACATCACACTTGATGTACAGCAGCTCCGAAAACACGTTGCTGATTCAATAAATCTTTGAATTCGATTGACTACTGCACCTTGACGTTTTTTTAAAAATTTTTGAACACTGCAATGTTTATTGGTATTATTGCCGCAACAAAACATCTAGTAATAAAGTATTTCAAAACGGATTGTAGCTGTCACTTTAGTGCTCAGAAACATCGCATGCGAATCATGCAAGGGCCTTTCCTAAATTCGTGCTTTTTTTAAAATTAGCTTCAGAAGCTGAGCTTGTAAGTTAGATGGCATGCTCCTTTATCCAATGCAAAAAAAGATCGATAGCATGTCTGTCTGTTTCCCGTCATTGATATTGCGTTTTGTTCCTTAAACACACGGGCACTGTCTGAGATTAATAAATTAACTGCGGATAAAATAATCGAGCTTTAATATACTCAGACGAGGGGACAAAGCTGGAGATGCATACTAGCTGTTTCGGCCCTATAGGTGTAAAGGTTATTATGACATCGTAGATTTGAAAAAATGCACTTTTTAATATTACTCTTTAGGAACTGTAAATAAGGCCTATTATGTCTGCCGTACAGCAGAAAATAAATCGGTAGATCCAACGTACCTGGAAACCAACGGTATACGAAACATGCGGGGTAGGTGACCATGTTGTAATTTTCTTATCGATCGAAACGTCATGAAATGACGCTAAATATATCTACAAATTTTCCACGCACAGAGAGATGTTGAAGAGTTGCAGATGTTTATATAACCAGCTGTTTGCACTTGCGCAACAATGTCAACTAAAACAAGCATATAAGCGAACCCAGAATCTGAAACCCAGCGCTGATGCTCGTGAAGATGCTGGCCCTGGACACTGCTACATAAATCAACTGCAGGGCATGGCAACAAACCACAATTGACGTTAACCCAATGGGACGGCTGTATCAAATGAGCCCATATGCAATGTATATAAAATTGGGTAAGCAGCACTTCAACCACTATTGACGTTTCACGAAGATTGGCGTCTATTTCAAAAGTAGTACAAAGACATGACGTAGCTCTGAGGTAAAATGGTTCATTGTCATGCAAAATACTTGTGTTCGAATCCAGCTGGGATCTTGACATTTATTCTTTGCATTCGTTGCGTCGAAGCTACCAATGTGATGTATTTCTTAACACTCGTGCATTAAAATTGCCCATGTGTGTTCTAATCGTTCCTGGATTGGGTAAATCACCTGTGGCGCATACCCGCATACTAGCGACACATACCCACCCGTGGGTATGTGACACTGTCTGGCGGAAAGTGTTTGACGACGTACGTGACGGGATTGTGACATTATTCATGTCTTGACCAGCGCGTCATATTCGCCAAACCATCTTACCCTCCCATACTAATTTTGGTTCCCGCCGAGTAAAAGGGGCGACCACGAAAACACCCAAACGTAATCGAATAGATAGATGCGGTCAAAGTCACTGAAATTCGCTAAAAAATGCTTCGAAAAAAAAAAGAACAACATAGAGATTTTTGTAGCTCACACCGCCAAATTATAATGTGCTATTTCTCTGTAAACCATTTGGCTAAGCTCACGACAAAGCTTTAATAACACCTTTTCCCTCCATAAACGCGGTTAAGCACACTCATGAAAACAACAAATTTTTACGCCTAAAAATAATGTTAAACTACACTTTGGAAGTGTTCACAACTTTAATGGTATAACTTTAACCTATACATATATCCGAAAGGTTATCTCCTGCAAGAAATAAATAATGAATTGAACAGGAGCATTCGAATCCATTTAGATGATAACTGCGCACAGCGATGCATTGAAGTTCGATGTTTGAAGTTTTTCAGCACAGTAGCAACACATAAAATGAAGCATGCGTATTGCATTCTAAGGTTCTTTAGTTCGCAGAATATAGTTAATGAATACCGAGCCTATACTCGGCGAAAACTTTCTGTGGCAGCAAAGCCAAAGCTACGTAAGCGGAGCTTCTGCACATGTGTTACTACACCAAGTATAGTTCGTTTTCGTGCGATTTCGGTTTCGCAAGCGTATCCAACACGAACGTTTTCGCTTGAGCACGATACAATAAATCTAACATTTATTTTGAGGAAAATCAATAAAATGTAAAGTTTTAAGAACACGAACCTTCATTGAAGCGTTCAGATTTATTTAAAAAAAGCACGATCGAGCAGAAACTTGGTGATTGGAAAAACAACGCAAATGCCGGAAACCATTTCTTAAATTTCAGTGCATACTTGGTCGGCATCGTTCTTTTTTTCTTTTCAGAGACGCAACATATTTCTGGAGATGCTCACATTTTTTCTTTAGGGGACGTGAAGGTAACGATGGGAAAGAGAAGTCATCATACCGATCGGTCATGCGCGGGCGTCTGACGCTCGTAATTGGTGAAACGCAATATTTCCTCGGCCAAAATGCTGTTTTTGCATAGTCGACAGTCGAAGGGTTGCACTGGTAATTTCACTCGCCTAAATCACTGTCATTGCAAAGCGCCAACAATCCATCCCTCCTCAGATGACGACGGGTCAGGTGTTACAGTACGCCATATTCAGCGTTTACGTATATATCTAGAATATTAGGCAGCCGTAATACCAACCACGTATGCAACGAAATTTTGGAAAAGGATCATTGCTTCTACGTACATTTGCCAATCGCAGTTTTCTTTCCAAGCAGCTGGTATTGCTGAAGACTGGCAGGTCACCGGTGTCACTTTCAAGGCTGCTATAGAGATGAGAGTCCCTCTTTTGTTAATGGTATCCTTCGCACACAGCTTCTCGGCGATTGCAAGTGCAGAAAACAAAATATTTCATGGCACCCCGCTGTCTTTGTTTCTCCCTGCTTGATGAATACACATCACCTAATGAACAAGCGAACATGCTCGCTTACAAGTATCGATGTGAACTTGCTGCAACCGAGTGACGCCATTATTGTTTATCGGGATGGGAAAAACGTAGAATGGCACCAGAAAAGCAGAAAACTAGAAACAGCAAATAACGAAAAACCTGTATAGGTAAAACTTCCTAATATTACAGCGAATATAACCTAATGTTTACTTCTTTTCTTTATATACTTCCTATTATGCTACGCAGCGTACCAAAGTTAGCGTTCGTGGACTAGATGCAGAAACGTAGCAAAAAAAGGGTGTGCTTTGGCTTCGTAGCCTTGGCTGAGCTGCCACAGAAAGGTGTCGCAAAGTATAGAAAATACATCTTGGGTCTAAAAAGTACAAGTAGGCCTCCATGAGTAGACTACAGAAAATAATATTGCATAATATGAAGCGTTCAAGGAGAGTTCATCAAGGAAGCATAACCGCGAGACGCTTGCGCTTATGCTGGCAATAACCTGCTCCGTTTCCGGTGAGCTAACAATACTTGTAGAGCGAATCAACACGCCCCAGAAACCGGAAAATTGTGACAGAACGTGCGAGAAAGGCGCGTAAACAAGGCGAAGAACAAACAACAACGCGCTAGCACTGTACGGTACGTGCATAAACAGCACCGTATGTATACCGCGATAGCTGACGCTACAAGCATCGTTCCCGACGTGACGACCGTAAACATCGACTCAACTCTTGCCGTTTATTTCATCGCTACACATGCCGGAAGAACTTGTTGCGATTGCCGCGTAGGGTTCAATGTCACGTTGCCCCTCTACACCTGCAACAGCAGTACACGTGCGCGTATTCTTCTGCGCAGACGTTGCCATCGAGATTACTTCTAAAGAAGAGGTCTAGTTCCTTTTCCTTGAAGGGAGAAATGGAAAAAAAATAAGAACAGCCCTCCAGAGCCATTGAGCAGCTATTCGTGCGTGCCTGTTTTGAACCAATGACGCCCTCCAGGACTTCCCCGCATGGTCACTTGACAAACCGCTTGAACGTGCGATAGGTGTAATAAAAACTGCACGCTTCGATTCCCCGTTCATCATTGTTTCAGCTGGTATACGAGAGTCGCAATGAAGTCTTTGGTCTTGCTGTTGGCGTTAACGCTGCTGTCCGCAGGTGAGTTTTACCTAAGAGTTCGTCTTCTGGGATTTTTCTTTACAAGGGGAAATGAATTTGTTGTTTGCATCTCGTAACCTGGGAGAGTTTTTTTAGTGCTTCTTCTTCATTCGGCCCTTTTCGTAGTTCGCAAGTGCACTTCTGTGCACTGCTCATTTGCCCAATAAGTCGTGCGCCCATCATGCTTCAAGCGGACACATGGTCCTGGTTGAATGTGCTGGGCTTGTCTATTTTGAGCATTTATACCAAGAGGGCCGATTCACCATTGTCATGTCATTACGTAAGCAATTCTCGCTTCAACAGGCTGTTTGCAGTTAGTGACGAGCTGCCATTAGTTGTTCAAACTGCATAGCAGTAAACGTAACTGTTCCATTTTTAAAGGGTTTATTTTAGCTGGTGACCTTAGGAATGGACCTAGAGCTTTCAATATCAGCAACGATCACACACGGTCACATGTTGAGAAGGGTTCCATCAAAGATAATGATTAAGCTATAAATTGAAGCAGGTAAACATGTGTCGCGTATTGGAAATTTTCGGGATATAGATGGTCTATTTAGAACATCACCGGAGTTGTGGAGCGGCAAAGATACATATGCAATGATGGGATTTTGAAACGGCAGTCGTTGAACACTTCCCACTCGTTTCAGCCCTGTTAACGGAAGCGCAACGATTCCCGGGAGGTGGAGGATTTCCAAGGCCTGGCGGCGGCCGTAGATGTGGAGTGAGTGTTCCGTCATTTGATGGTATAGTTGGCATGAAGTTTCTCGAGCTATCGGCTCTTTTGTATGTCATTGTACGGATCAGTTTTGTGTAACGAGACTAGCGTACAGTTATGAAATGTAAATATTTTACTTCTACTGTTCGTTGTCGCATTTGTTTCTTTATTTATCTCAATTTTGTTTTGTGTGCTTTATTATACTTCACAACCAAATTCAATAATCTGGCCATTTTGCTCTTATTACCTGGATTCCAACCATAGGCTTTCATTCATAAATCCTATTATAACGACATATTATGTGCTGTTTAAAAAATCACAATGCTTCGAAATGAATTGATATCATAGTAATCATTATTTTATGCAATTCCATATCTTTAAACATCGGTGTTTACTGGAAGCCAACTTTTACGTTATCATTTGGTGCGTAATATTTCCATGAATATGCCACCTTTAAATTTGCGTCTTCTGGTGTTTAGCCTTTACGCGCATCGCGGAGTAATAATGGACAACATATATGTGATGTATTAACAGATATCGCACATTCACATGATGTTATTGTTGTTTTGAGACGCGGTTATGACACGTTCTTTTATTGCCACCTTGAAAACATAACAGGAAACCAAATAAAACTTGTGTAGTCGAAGAGCTCAACTTATAAAGAATAGGCCCACTTATAAGGTGCTACTTAATATTGAAAGTGGTTACAACGGTGGCAAAAAATGCTAAAAATGTTAAAAACACTATTAAATTCTATAAAATAGAACAACAAAGAAAATAACCACTTTGAGCGTTACTCTCTCTTCAATAAATTTTGATACTGTTACTTTTTTTTTAAAGCCATAACCCCTCTGTTTTATAGCAAAGAAATTGTGTAAAAAACGCTTTGCAACCTTGTTTCATTCTGTTATTTAGTGTGTTTCATGTATGCTCACCCTGCTTGGACTTTTTGCCTGCTGTATTCTATAAATAAAATAAATAAAATAAAATTAAGGAAACAAAAGAAAATGTACTGCCCGTAACTGTTTATAATTTGGATAACATTTCAACAGGTCGGCACAGGGGACGGGGTAGTGAGATAAAAGTGGATAGGTAAGGAAAAAGCACAAGGAGAAGGAAGAGAGAGAACAAAAAGCATTACTTACCTATCTATAGGTTGTATAAAGTAGGGTGAGGGTTCTCACCTGCATTAGGTCAGGTATGCTCTGAATATGAAGGCTATAACCGAAGGAAAACGACAAACTACGCAGTTGTCGAAAAGTAAGTTTATCAGTGCGCTGGGAGGTACATTAAATGCAATATTAGCGCGCTATGTGCTCATTTTTGCGCTTCTTGACTGCATTCTTTCTTCCTTACAGAACGTCTTCTGTCGCCCCGGACAGCGCTGCGTCTATGAAAGAGTCGTGTGCATACGAGCACCATGTCCACCAATTCCTCAATGTGAGTGCGCCGTGTGACGCAGAGACATCTTATACTGCGGTCTAGTGTTCAGACTTCCATTGTGCTTAAAATTCGAATAGCGATGATCCATGAGATAACACCAGGAGAAGAGTTGCCTTGTGATAACTTGAAAATGAACTTTAACGTACTATATAAGTGACGTACTATTAAAAACATTACTATAAGGCCGAAACAATAGACTGCGGCAATTATTCTTATCTGTGAATATTTAGCATGCTGATAATCTTAAGTGCTGGTTTGTTCAGGCTTATCGCTTGCACGGAAAGGCGACCACTGCATGCTGTCGCGAATAGAACATGCTACGGTGAGCTCAGTAGTATCCCGCCAAAATCACTAAGCTGCTATGATAATTGATAGCGATGGAACAGAAATTTTTCATTTTCTGTTTTTCTTCGCCTGATGCCTGTGTTACGAGTTGAACACGTTACATCGTCCAAGTGGGATGCCGCGCTTCGCAGAATATGGATTTGAGGGCGCAGCTATGGGCAATCCAAGGGGCATACGACGTGGCGGACAAGTTAGGCCTATCTGTCCCAACGTCGAAACGGCCCGCTAGGTGCTAGTTCACGCACCAACGGACCTAACTAAAGTTTTTTCATACCATACAGTTAACAGTAAATGTACGCATTGTGAGAAATGAGCCACATTTGAGTTATGTGTACGTGTTTGCCTTTGATCGATGTACTAACATTTGGTTTCTATTTCTTCGCAGGTCTGTGAGAGGACAGTTTCGACAGTTAGCAGCCTGCTGTCCACCATCATGCTGCTGTCATTCACAGATCACGTTCATCTGCAATAAAAAGTACACTCAAGTAATACTGAAAACCACATTCCAAACTCACTGAACTACAGCCAAGTAGACGTCTCCCTGTCTTTCTGCGCATCTGAGTTTCTGTCTTCTCCACGCACGTTCGCCTTCTCACTTCATTTTAAGAGGTGGTAAACGAGCACAGAGTGACCGAAAGTAGGTAGGGGAGATGAGATTAGGAAGTTTGCGTGGCAGAAGCAGCTTCAGGACCCGGCTCTGCTAAAGAACAGAAAGAGATGCTTTTGATTTGCAGGGGGCTTAATCAGGCTGATGACCAGGATGATGACGATCACGATTACATGTCTGATGTGACAACAACTGTGTTTTCTTTGCGGCAGAGTGAATGTGCATTGCGACTTCCACATGGTATATGATGACAAGCCGGCGTTGTTTCTCGCTGAGCACATTCTCAGTTTCCTTGAAGAGCTGGACACGCCCTCGAGCGTTGGATGTTGCTGGATAGCAGTGGCAAGGCATCAAAAAATAAAAATGAAACAAGCAATCCTAATGACAAGGAATGGCCCGAACAAGTAAACACACACAAATTATGATATTCCCGTGTCAGTTGAATTTCTCTAAGGGTTAGTGAAAAACACATGCAAGTGAGAATGAATAAATTATCTCAGTCGGAGAGCAGCACTTACTTTTCAGGCAAAGAACAGTATTCTCAGCTTACTGGTGCACCATCAATCTGCCCAACCCTAAGAATAATGAATATGTACTATCGATGCGACTCTAAATGTCCTTATATGCGTTTGTATGGACGCATGGAGGGACATAGTTACACAGGCGAGTCAAAAAGCTGCTTCGCATCTAAAAGTGTGCTCTTCTCTAAACACACATCGTGCTCCACGCTGTTACTCTGGGCTACAAACTTTCTGGATATTTCCGACAGACTGACACATTGTAGTTAAAAGGACAGCGCTAATAGATACGGAATATAGGAAGGCACACTTGCACACAAACAAATACCCAGACAAGCATCTGTATCACTGTGCGCCTTTCTTTAGTCTCTATCAAGTAGCGCTACCTATTCAAGTATGAATTGTAAATTTGCAAACAAGCAAGATTTGATATGTGGCGTTTAACTACACGAAACAACAATATGATTATTAGAGAGGAGGGTTCCGGAAATATGTACCCCACGGGGTTTTTTAACGTACATCTTAATCTGAGCACATGGGCCTACAGATTTTTCTCCTCCATCACAAATGCAGCCGTCGCAGCCGGGATTCTATCCCGCGACCTGCGGGTCAGCAGCCGAGTATAACTTAGCCACTAGACCACCGGGGTGGGGCTCGTCCAAGGAACAGCACTCGGAATTTCGGAGTTTGATCACGCAGTAAATCTAATTAGCGACACTGAACTTACCACCAGAAAGCAAACTTCTTCGTTTGAAGTATTGCTGAACGTTTTGTATGCCTCCACAGCCGCAAAACAGGAAGCGGTCGATCATTCTGCGTTGCCATTGTCGCGCACTGACCATCTCCGCAGACTACAGCAAGCTATGCGATGAGAAGGGAATAGGAACAAAGCGCACCAAGTGCCTGCATTGGCGCTATGAAGTCTGAGATTGATAGCGCCACCAAATGAACGCATGAGGTCTACAGCACCTGCGCTTTCGCCAGTGCTCGTACGTCATTACTTTCACGTTGCCGCCGAACGAAGACACCACCAATCAGATATATCACCACGCAGTATACCTACAGCTTACTCCATCTTTGTTATTTTGCACAAAAACGCTAGCGAATGCTTGCGTTTAGCGATGAAGGTGAAAATTGCCCAATTATGCCGGTGATAACACACATGAAGTGACAACATGGATTTTATTATAGTGTCCGACCTGGGCAGCTGCCAGGATGACGGCAGACACCTGCAATGTTTACTGCACGACTCAGTATGTGTGATAGTCCACGGGCAAGCCGCATGGGGATGTGATGATTGAATATACTTTTCAAAGGCCAGAAAAAATGCCGCATTACTGACCTCCCTAAAAGCATTCATTTCGAGAGTTTTAGGAACTCATCTCCTCTTTTCAAAAACATTTAGCGAAAGGAAAGGCAAATGCTGGTCTGCCAGAAACGAATAGAGGGACGTTATTTGAGCAGGAAAATTAATAGATTTCATGACGATCACATATTCAGGTTTATTTATTCTGTCACTAAATGGAATACCAAGATGAAAAAAAAAAGTTGCCGCTGTTTCCGTATGTGCCTGGTTTAATTTACAAGTGTGGCAGCTTGGGCTAGTTGGTATGACATGACGATAGGTATAGCGCGAGAACAAAACGACGACACACAGACAAGAAGGACACGAAGGACACGGGCTCGTGTCCTTCGTGTCCTTCTTGTCTCTGTGTGATCGTTTCGTTCTCGCGCTAAAGATATCGTCATGCCTGGTTTAATGTCACGTCGTCCATCTACGCCGGTTTCATCTTGCAAAGTACGCTCAACACCATAAATACAAAAGTATCCTAAAAGTTGCTTACTAAGCGCCCCTTCTGTTTTCCTTCTTCCCAGCGCAGGATAGAGGAAAAAGAAACTACTTTGTCACGGCACTGTCTCGAATGCGGGCCTGTTTTTAAAGACCAAGACTCACTAACAATTGCTGAGCAGTCATTCGATTCGGCCTTCGAACCTACAATACGTTCAATATAAACTGCACTCTCCCGCCGTTGCTTCGTCAGTCTGCTGGACGGCACAAGCAGCGCCATGAAGAACTTGTTCCTGTTGATAGCTGTGCTGATGCTATCGGTGGGTGAGTTGTACTTAAATATTTTTAGGCTTTGTGTCGTGTGCGCTTGATGTTGTATGCTCATGATATCCATGGTGGCGTCGACGTGGCACTAGCGTGCTCTGTGAAAACGGTAAATTTTGACAGAGTCTGATGATTCTGAGCGTCATAGTGCAGGGTATCGAAACACGCGAGCCGTGGGCCGCACGCCGCCTACTGACTCTTCGCAGCAATCCGTGGCAGGCAAACGACACTCTTCATCGCTTAATTTCTGAATGACCTCACGCCTGTTTGTGGCTATGCTAAATGGTACTTGCATCTTTTTTTCCCGCCCCTGAAGTGACGAACAATGCTGTGCGCAGGTTTGCTGCACAGATGTGACTGCTATAGCACACTTAAAAAGTGATATATCCTGTACCCACCAAGAATATATATATATATATATATATATATATATATATCTATATATATATATATATATATATATATATTTATTTATTTATTTATTTATTTATATATATATAGATATAGATATATATATATATATATATAGAGAGAGATATAACAGACAGTAATGTCAAGGAATGTACAGGGGAAGTTATTAGAACCAATGGAATGTAAATAAGAAGAAAGAAAAGTGGACGAAAAAATTACCAGCTGTGAGCAGGAATCGAACCTGCGGCCTTCGAATAACGCGTTCGATGCTCTAACCACTGAGCTATCACAGCGGCCGTCCCTCCATCCACGTTTTGGGGTTTATATGTGAATTTAGAAGTAGGAGTGACAGTCAGCGCCATCTATAAGCCAAACAACGAGTGTGAAAACACTCTTATTCGCATGTTTGGCGTCACGTAGCACGTGAACTTATTATGAGCCGGCAGCTGATTAATTGTCCCTCTTATACAACCTAAACACACGAAGTCTGCCAGTACGAGACCCTCGTTCAATGAAATAAGGGAGAGAAGTGTATACCTAAAGGCTCGTATTTCCGTGTTTTCAACACAATATTAATGAGATATAACAGACAGTAATGCCAAGGAATGTACAGGGGAAGTTATTAGAACCAATGGAATGTAAATAAGAAGAAAGAAAAGTGGACGAAAAAAAAATTGCCCGCAGCTTCCTTCGGGGGAACACTGAGGAGGATGCGGAGCATATAAATGGTTAACGGGGTGTTAAAGTGCGACTTACTTGGGTCGATGGCTAAATTGGTTAACGTGGTTGTGAAATGGGGTGTTAAATTGCGACTTACTTGGGTCGATGGCTAAATTGGTTAACGTGGTTGTAGGAGGGGGTGTTAAATGAGTGAACACGTACACACGTATGCGAAAGGGCGGCGCTGGTCGAAGGGACGTCGATCATTGTGTTTGTGGATTCGTTGGAATTCATTTCACCGTGACCTTGGACGTCGACGCGCCGTACAAACCAACCGACGAGC